TGTAATATATTAACTCTATGATGATGGATACAAAGTACCTAGACAAGTCTATTTTCAAACGCCAAGTTCTACGAACCGAAGCGAAGGATGAAATCATCGAGTCAAGATACTCTCTTGTCTGTCGGCGCGACAACCTAATTCCTAGCCTGCATTTTCCAACTATGTATTTTTCTTGATATCGAGTTCTCGGGATGGACCATCCCGATCATTGCGGCGATTAACTCGGACAAAACGAGCCGATCTGGAATTAATTCCTTGAAACGATCAACAACTTACTCGCCACTAAAAATAGAAATTAACCAACGAAAAGTGATCGAATCACACATCTACTTTATATATTCGGACTTTCACAACCGCGTTTAGAGTAGAAAAAATCTACATACTCGTTTGTAACGTTGAAAACAAGAGAATGAAAAATCCGAGTATCTATTCTATATGGTCTTGGAAACAATGTGACCACGAATATGAGCGACTGACAATTGCAAAATGGTTGATGGAAAAAGATTCTCGAATCAAGAATCAAGAGCCGAGGACATGGTGAATTTCGTCATAAACATATGATTACCAACGAATCTATAATTAACGCGACTAATTGGATCAAGCGATGCGTAACACACGTCCTGTGTATATACACATATATATAATCGCTCGAAGAACAGAAAGTGAAAGAAAAAGATGCTCGAAGTGCAGCTTGTATGTATGAAGGACGCGCACGATAATTTCACCGGTGTACAATCTTAGCCATGGTATCGACGCGCGTCTCTGTACAGGTGAATTCACTCTGATTACAGATTCAGCCAGCCTGAAAATTACGCGGTCGATCCTCCGTGACGAGCAGCACGGAGAGAGAGAGAGAGAGAGAGAGAGAGAGAGAGAGAGAGAGAGAGAGAGAGAGAGAGAGAGAGAGAGAGAGAGAGGAGGGGCAAGGAATGATGGAGACGAACAGATGGTGTAGAAGGAGAAGGAGATTGATAATACAACGCCGCGTAATTTTACCTATAAGATCAAATTACAGTCGGCGTCGAATTAAAGACCGTTCATTTTCTGCCTGTTTATTCGCGGGGGATTTAGACACGGGGACTCGTCGACTCGTTCTCCAAGCTGTTTTCACGAACGAGGAAAGATTCTTACGGAGCGGACGTGGGCCAAACCGAACAATTTACTTCGATTCGCGTCGTGTCTTTAAAGCAACGACTCCAACGAGCGCTGTTTAAGACGAAATTACGGTCCGAGGAGCGAGGCCTTGCGCGGCGCGCGATTAACGCGACCACGACCGGGTCACGCTCAATGCCGCAGCCACGGTTAGCATTTACTACGGGAGAAATTCGTGAGCGTGTACAGCGATTCTCCGAAGAGTGTTTATTCGAAACATCTGAAATGAATTTCTACAGAAACGGTAAACTCTTCTTTGTAAATTACACGCTGGAGCGTGTATTCGAGACACACGAGAGACAAAAGTAACCTGCTGAACGATTCGTAGACCGCGCCAAGATTCCGATTTTATTAATACGGTAATGAGCGTTAAACCGGGAACGGACGCGGCAAATCGAGCCAGCGAACGAACATCAAAAGACCATCACACGTCGCGGCTCCACGAACAGAGCTCGAAATCCAAAGATACTAATGTCTTCCACCTTCCTCGCAGCATCCTTTCACAAATAGATGTTTTTTGCATAACTTCGCCGTAGGAACGTTCCCCTCTCGTCGCCGCCATCAGCACCCCCTCCTGAACTCGAAGAGAACTTCCCATGTCCCGCGTCTTACCACCACCCCCTGCCTGAACCACCGACCACTTTTACCCCCCCCCCCCCTCTCTCTTTCTTTCCTTTCAAGTCTCCTTCTTTCTCTCGCTCCATCTTTCTGCCGACCTCTCTTCTACCGACACCTCATCTCCCGGTTTGCCGTTTCTCTCCTACTCTCCCCGATCATTCTCTCCCTCTCTTTCTATCCCCCGTAGCAGCAGCAACAGCAGCAGCAGCAGGCTGCTACGGCGCTGTACACGAGGCTGCGGCTAAGAGCAGAGCGACGTCGCCGACGCCACGCACCCCGACGTCGCCCTGACGCGCTCCACTGACGCTGCGGAGCGGAGATTAATGGCTTCGGACTCTGAAATCCTGGAAAATAAATAGCAAGGGCGCCGGTGGCGAGAGCGAGAGCGAGAGTCCTGCGAAGCAAGATGCGATACCCCTCTTTCTCTCTCTCTCTCTCTCTCTCTCTCTTCCTTCCACTTCCACGCTGTTTCTATCTTTCTTCGTTCCCTAGCGTTCCCTTTCTCTCTGTTTCTCGCCGGTGGTCGACAGAGAAAGGGATGCGGTTGGAAGGGAAGGAGAAGCAAGGGTTGAAGAGGGAGAGAGACGCAAGCTTCCCGAGGGACCTGCCTACATCGCTCCACGCTGCCCACCGCCATCGCTGTGTGCTGCTCCTTCTTTGTGAGGCAACCTGAAGGTTGTCGAAGGGCTGACGCGAAAAGCGACCGGCGTAGAAATTTATCTGGCCGGAATGCTTTTGTTGGCCCGCTTCGTGACGAGGAAATTGAAGGCTCTCCCAGTTTTTTCTCCTCTTCTTTTTCCTCTGATTTTTTCTCTCTCCCTCTCTTTCTTTTTTTTCGCCGACCAGCCCAGAGGATTTATCGGACACCCCAGGATCAACGCCGGTGATACGCTTTTGTTCCGGTGTATCGTTCTTTTCCTCGCGCGATCCGCGAATGTTTTCGTGAAAAATAGTACACGTACACGCTTTGTAAGATCGTTTAACAAGCTATCACAAAAATATATATATGTCCGAGATTCGTCGAGATCAAGGCAGAGACAGATATATATATATATATATATGTCGTTTTAATCGTTAACAAGAACGTTCGTCGAGGATCCAGCATCTCGTACGACATTAATCGTTCGAAAGTGACGCCTCAACGACCGACGCAGCAACAACTGGATACCTGTTGGGTACTCGAAAGTCTTGGTGGAATGTGTGAAGATAGCCATTATACAGCAGACTCCAAGGTAAATTATATTAAATACTAAATAACTGGTGGAAGACCACGGTCTAATTGTTGCGTCGTTTGCATAATGCCCGGTCTGTAACCGCTCTCTTCCCTTTGCCTCCCTCCGATACTATCCTTCCTTCCTCCGTTTCTCTCTCTCTCTCTCTCTTCTCTGTATTCCGACCGGTGTTCTCTGTAACGTGGCTTCTCCGTATATCTCTTCCTCGCATCCTCCAGCTCATCCTATCTGCCTTCTTTCCTCCCCTCCTGTTCGACCAAGTACTCTCTTCTCTGATTCGTCGCAATACCCACCGAAAGATTAATTGCTAATTCTTGCTACTGCAACCAGTTGCTACTAAATGCGCACGGTGATCGTGCAAAGATCAAGAAACCTCGTCGTGGCCAGCCACGTTCACGCGAGAGATACAAACGCAATAATGAACCTCTGCGGCTTAACACCGTCACAATTGGTAACATTTCTGGTGGCGTTACGTGATTTTCGAAACCAGTTCGCTCGAAATGTGCAGGAAGATGCTGATTAAAATTCTCAGTCAGTTTTCTGATCAGAAAGTAATTCCATTAACCTCTTGCGCTGGAATGACGTGCCACGTCGAGAATTTTTTGACCCAAAATTGCAATATTTCCCCAGTTTTAAGTATATATTTCAGTATAACCCAGGCAAAACAAATAATAAATTTATTACGTCTTAATCATTTCTACCCAGTGATATCATACCGACGAGTTCAAAAAGAAAGCGACGAATTACTGTACATTATTGGTTTGGTCGCTCGTTATGGTCCGCAATCAGTTGCCAGCGTAAGTGGTTAATTCTGTGATTTCCAATGACAGTGGCTGTCAAAAATTCTTCTTCGCTCATTGCTTTCATTTTAATTTAAAAATTTGCTGAAGTTACTTCTCTTTCGAACTGGCCGATGACAAAGTGATGCCGTAGGAAAATTCTATCAGTAATGAGTGAAAGGCGAGTTTCGAAACTCGGCGTCGTCGAAAATCAACGGTCAGAGCTCGAACCTCTTTCGCGGAAAGGTCGTTCGTCTTCCATCTCATTTGAGCCGGCTGCCCTCTCTCATCGTTCTCCCTCCGTCATCGTCTAGCCACGTTTGCACGGTAGCCATTTGCGAGATTACAACGAGCGGCGCTCGCTAGGGCGCTCATTAACGAGCGAATGAAAGAAGAGATTATCAACCGACTAAGCGTAACTAACAACAACGCGCCGTCCAATTTGAGAAACGGCTAATTATACGGCCGCGGAACGACCGTTGCGCTCTGACGTTGTTGCCGCGCGTTACTTTTTCGCGACCACCGCGACTAATTACTCGAAACGACTTCGATCGCCACCGTTGTGACACCATTGCGAGAGCGTGAGATTAATCGCGATACCAGCCACCGCGGAATGAATTGCACTCGCGTATACCTCCCTCTCCCCCTGACCGACAGTTAGCCTAGCCAAAAAATGAGAAAACCTCAACAACGAGAACGAGACACAAAAAAAAGAAGCAAAAGAAAAAAAAAAAGAATTCAGCAAAAGGAGTGGAAGAAGAAGATGAACGAGGAGAGAAAAAAAAAGAACCGAGTAAAAAAGACATGAGAAATCCGGTGTCCTGAAATAATAAAGCCGAGCCGGTCGCCTGTGTTAATTTATTATTCAATTCGTAGGAGACGCTCCCTTCCCAAGGTTCCCCTTCCAAATCTCCGCGCAATATCCGTGTATATAGGCCGAAAACATCCGGCCGAGATTGCGAACCAAGATCCTCGGACGACGATATTCGCCGCGTTACATTCCTGGACGATGATTTTCGTGCCAGCACATGGCGAACTCGTAGCTAGGGGCTCCAGGAGACGAAGAACATGGGGAACCTCGTTCACTAGGACGGGGGTAGGACGAGGCAGAGAGGGGGCTAGATTTGATTCGTAGGGGGATAGAACATATCGGGTATGGTGTCTGCCTCGACAGACACAGGAGGGAAGGGGGGGAGGGGAGAGAAGAGGAGATGGCGGCGTGCAACACCGTACCAAAGCAATATCCATAGGAACACCCCGTGTCAGAGGGAGAGATGCAGAGACGTGCAATCAATCACGAGGGACCCTGCTGCCACGTTCGTGGCCCTCGTATCAAACGTAACGCACGGTAAACATTTTTAACTTTGCCACGTTATTAATATTCGTTGCGCCCCGGGATCCTCTCCCGCCGCCCCTCTGTCTCCCTGCCGCCCCCTCCACCTACTCGTGGACCTCGTTTTGCCCTCTGTCCTTCCTTTTTTTTTTTTTTTTTTTTTTCCCTCCCCCCTCCAAGGCGATATCGGTTTTGACACGCTGCTCGCCTCTTATCACCATTTTCCTCGCTGTGTTTGCTACCGTGGAAATGCCTGCGTGTCGTCGACACTGAAGAAAGAACGATAAAGAGAACGGCCGATAACTCAGACCGAGGATTCTTACCATCGCCAACGGCGTAGAAATCAACGTGAATTACCGAGAAAACGTTCCTTCGACCCTTGAAACGCTGATTCGTATCATTTATTTTTAACGATGTCTACGAACTTTACGAGATTATCGACACGCGGTTGATACAATATTTATATTTCAAGTCGATAAACGATAGATCAACTGTCCTTATTTCCGTGCTCTTCGCTTGTGTCTTTTTTTTTTTTTTTTTTAACAAAATACACGATTACGAATATTAATTTCTCATTCGCATAATCTGAACTTATATAATCGTCGACGAGTGATAACCGAACGTAACGCGTGCTGGTTTTTGATTACAGACATTTGTCAAATCTGATGAACTAACAACTGACATGTTCATATAATACTTCACTATCAACAATGCAGAACAATTTACGTACCAGATGTATCTGCAGTTTCGGAATCATTTCATTTTTTTTCATGCTATTTTTTTATGGTGTCGTACGACATCGAACGTAGCTTAATAAACAAAAAAGGAAGGTATGTGTATGTTGTTCCAGTCAGAGCAGAAATTCGCATCCAATTAGTTTGTTATAACAAATATAGAAGAAATATTGGATTACTTCGATACCAGGTAGTTTCGCAATTTTTTCCACGATTTTAGATCACCAATGTTAATGAACATAATAAAAAATAATGTAAAGATCGTAAACGGAAATTAAAATGAACTTCAAGAGAGAAAATGATGATTAGGACAGTTTAATTGGTGAGGCGAAAGAATAATTCGGATGAGGATTCTGATTTAGCAATTTGATTGATTCGTTGAATTCCTATGTTGTTCTGTAGACTTCGTGGTTGTATCTTTCCTACGATATTATTGTCCTCGACACATTGTATACATACATACAAAAGCTTACACCCACGACTGACTCTCTCGGAAGATAAATTTTTTTCTCAATCCTATTACTCAAATCCGTGAGCCTGATTTTTAATTGTGTATAAAAATACGTTCACGTATAAGAATTTAAGCCCGTGGAAAAGATCATAACAAGTGATATTTGTCACACTTGACAAGGAAGTGATTTAAAATTCAATATTGTCTTAACTAATTGTCAAACTATATTGTCAAACGAAGAGATTCGAAAAAGACTATTTTTTATAAGTTGTTTTGACACTGTTGTTAAAAAAATATACTCCGAAACGATACAACGCAGTAACGTTCTCTAATTCGTTCACCGTGGGTTTGGAAAAAGATGTGAAAGAAAAAGGAAAAAAAAAAAAAAAAAAAAGGGGCGAAAGAAATATTCGATGTCCGTTACGCAATAGCTTAATAACGAGGCTCTGTGGCTGCGCCTTTCTCACTGGTTACGCCTTTGCCTGTAGAACGGGACGTCCGTAACATATAACATATAATACAAGGCACGCACGACGTACACGTGCGTGAGCTGACCTCGCTCTGGCCACGCACCTCCCGCATGGCTCTCCAACGATTCACGTGCTACGGAGCTTAACGAGAGACCTTCGTCAAAAGAGAGACGTGAAAACCGCGCGTGTGTCGCGCGCACGCAAGGATTGGGACCGCTCTCATCGCACGCCTCTCATCCTCTTCCCCTCGAGCAGACGAAGAAAATTCTTCATCTTTCCCCTTCTACTTCTATTTCTGCTTCTACCTCTACGTTTACTTCTACTTCTACGTTCGTTTCATCGGCCATCGCGGCTAATACTCTCGATCGTCCTTTCTCCAGGCGATCTACTTGCCCCGCGTAGACACCTTCGAATAATTCATGTGCTATCGCTAAGTTCTTTCTCGTGTTCATCGTTTAATTTCTCTCTCTCCAATCCTCCGTGCTTTTACTGATCTTTTAGTAATTGAATTATTATTCGGGAAACTGTTGCACGATCATGCGCATGAAATACTACGCCTCTCTTCTGGGTTTGTAGGGAATGGAATATAGGTCGACCGGATTACTGGACCGGATATTTATTCGTCCATGCGAGGTTCCGTTGATTTGTGTACATTCTGCGATGAAATGAGAGATTTTCCAAATGCTATATCCTAAATCTTTCGAAACCGGCAGAAACTTATTACGAAGTGTTTATTAAACTTCGAAAGTGTTGAACAGACCACAATTGTTCGAAAATTGAGATTATCATAACATAATACCATAATAATTTGGGGGTTACATTTGAAAGCAAAAACCCGGAAGGAAGAACGGGGAAAGGTTGAAGTATAGAAACGGCGAGGAAGTAGCTAAACTATTCTATAATTTTTTGAAAACTGAAATTACAAGTTTGTGCTTCCTCCTATCATATATAATTTAAAGCAAACTAAAACCTTACATTTGCAGTGATTGAAAAGTAGAAGCATGCGTAAAGGAAAGTATATTTGTAGATAATTGAAAAATTAATTTTCATAGCTGTTTGCCAGCAGTCAATTTTCTCCTTTTTGTGCAGGAAAAGTTGTAGCCTGCAATCATCGGATTCACGTTTTACTTTTTCTCCGTATCGGCGTACCATTGCGGAGTATGATTATTGACGGTTCGTCACATTTCAATTGATTTACATATGGAAAAGAATGGAGCAAAAACTTGCTTCACGCAGATAACTGCGTTTTAATGAAACGTTGGAGAAAATAATCGATTGGTATGGTTTAGCCCAAGAAAAAAGTTGTGAAAAAAAAAGAAAGAAAAAAAGGAAAGAAAAACAAGTTGAAAAAGGGTTTCGTGTGTTCTGTCGTGTTTCACCTTCGAGTTTCCAACAGCGATTACATTATGCTCGCGCAACATTTCGCAATCGTAAAATCGAGAAATCAGGCATTGACTGGCCATTTACCACGAGACAGCGTCAAGGTTCACGTTTTCACGAGGGGAAAACGATCGTTAATGATCCCCAACCGTGTAGAACTACCGGTTATGAATTGGTTAAAACGGTACGGCCCTGGAGTAACAATTTCTTCATCCCCAGATATCGATAGTTTCTTCTAATTTAGTTTGTTGTTATCGATATTGCTTTCGTAAACGCAGCAACGTTTGTCGAAATGACAATATATGAATCGACGAGATAGATATTAATCGAATATTTCAAGAAATTGCAATAAAAAGGACTGACGTGTGCGCAATAATGCATTAACCTTTTCCATTGAATTGCATCAAAGCATGAATCGCGCGATATACGCAGCGTATGACTAATCAAAGAAATTATCACCGGTTACTATCGAACAGCGTTCAATAACAATAGGCGCGGAAAAGAAATTTCCTCACTTGCACAAAAACACATGGGATACACGCGATACAATACCGTAACACGTGTTCACGCGCGATAGTATTGTGAAGAGGCTGAAACCCATTTATCATAACGACACAATGCGATACCTCATGCTCCTCAAAGCTACGATATTTTTGTCATCGTATCTGTTTCCTCCTCTTCTTCGTTAGTCCTTTAATTCGCGATATCGAACGTGCAGCGTGCGTCTATGACTTTATCGTATGCCACGTGTCGACTCGCCGATATACTCGCACACATGCCAACATCACTTCTACTACGTCGGTCTCGGAGCGAATTAATGTAGGAGTTACGGCGTAGTTAAGTTCCTGGTCATTCGTTGACACCGTGCCGCGGACGAACGAATCGCGATAGAATTAAAATTCACCGAGAAGCCATGCGGCACGTTGCTATAACTGTATTGCTATTTCGTCGTGTATCGATTTGGAATTACGCGTGTGAGACAACGCTCACAATATAGGCGAGAACGATTCGCCTTTACGGCTCTTATGACCTCGAACGAAAAGGTTAACGATTCTCCGTCGAGGTAAATATTATTATGCCACTTTTTTTTTTTTTTTTTTCTTTTCCCTCCTCCCTCGAAATTTGCGCTCCGCGTTTTTGTTAATCAATTTGCCGCCGTTCACGAAACTCGTCCGTTCGTGGCAAGAAACTGTCAAAGTCTACGGGGCTGAGTTCAACAGTGGCGGACTTCGTGCCAGTCAAGGGTGAAGTCAATCGTTTTGACACTGTTGAGGAATTTTCGAAGCATACGAAAACTCTTAGGTTTGAAATATTTGACACAAGGATTCCACTGGCACTGACATCAATTTTTATAAAATTCGAGATGAGTTTTAAATTATGATGAAGTGTTACGACGAAATTCCAATGTTCTAGACAAGACTAACATCCCTCGAATATTCCAAATTTTCAATTCTTCTAAAATATGAAAATGTACCTACGTTTTAAGACGCTCATTAAGTACAGTTTCATTCTACCTAACCTACAATAATTTTACCTTATCCAGAATCAAAGCTTTTGGTCAGAACACTTTTATTTGCGCATGAAACTCTTGTTTCAAAATATACGAGAGATGAAAAGAACACAATCGATTATAATTTTCGCAAAGTGCGTTTGAGGGTGCGTTTTGAATTACGCGGCCGCACTCGCTGGAATCACATTAAACGTAATGCACAGGAAATGTTTTTTGACTCGGCCGCGATATTAATATTCGTTAGGGGTCGCGGCCTCCCAATCCAGCCGCGCCTCCCATATTAACCACATTTTTTTCTTTTGATCTTTTTTTCTCTCCTTTGTTTTTTCCATTTTTTTCTTTCCTCTTTTTTCTTTTTGTTTCGTTATATAAAATTACGTACATTCCGAACGCTAAACGCAATAATGGAAATTGATAATCAGCCAGTCGTTAACGTTGCCAAGCGAGTAACGATTATTTATTCGTAACGATTCGCGGCTGCGTGATACGCCAAGGGGTGAAAATCGCGATCCACCGGGCCGATTAAAACTTTCCTCTGCCACGTTGCTCGTACGTTCTACACATCTTTTACCGGAACACGTTGAATTCTCTCCGCCTGATATATCAGCCGCGAGTAAAATTAGAATTTTTTTCTAACGACCGACAAGAAACGCTTGAATACTTAATACCTGAAGGCAGCTCTGTACTTATTGTCGGCTTTCGAGATACCAGTCGACGATTAGCTTAAGCTGAATTCAAAAATGTTTGAACCGCAATGAATAAATTATACGAATGTATAATATAAAACTGGAAGAAAAATTTATTTCACGTTTTGATTATAATTTTTTCAAAGCTAAATTAAACTTTTCATAATTACTAATGATACAAAACATGTCTTTTTTCAATGGTTTCGTAAAGAACACATGATGTATGTACTTGAAGATTTAGTTTCACTGAGAACAGATGCACTTATCGTTTAATTAACAACAGCGCGTAAAGATTAAATTCTTTACTTTGAATATTTCCTATATTTCTACGTGTCACGTACAATATTGTTGCATTAGGTTTATAATACTTTCTACCCAAACCAATTGTCTATTTTCCAAATTACATTCTTAAAAATATAAATCTTCACAAAAATCTGTAGACTAGTTACAAACAGCCGTGTAATAAGTTTCATCTTCACAGAACAGTGTTTGGCCAATGTTCATGAGCACACGAACCAATATCCTTCTCCTGTACCGTAATTATTAGACGCGCTGGAAGTTGCAGGGTCCGACGAAATGTCAGATACAAATATCGCCTCAGCACGAGCCCCCGTGTTATCGTTTCATATTGATGCGTACACCATACCGATCATTTTCTTACCCCCGTACGGCTCCCCTATTTCTTTCCCTCTGTTCCTTGCGCGGAGGAAACTCATAACACCATTAAGTCCAACTACACCCACTTACGTATATGTGTGTGTGTGTGTGTGTGTGTGTGTGTGTGTGTACGGCGGTAAAATCTTTTTTCTCATTCTCCATCACGTGTCGTAACGTAGTACAAATCGTTCCACGATTCGCCCGTGGAAAAATCTAGTGTAACAACCCGGAACTAGAAAGTTACTTGGCAAAGTTCGAAGACGACCGATTCGAAGCTAATTAACGACGAGATATAGAACGACCGTGTAACGCGATATTTTCTCTTGCAGAGTAGAACACGGGCCCGGCTTCGACGACGAATTTTGGCAGAAGAGCCTCCTCCCTAGCAGAGTTCCCGAAATCTCCTTCAATTACGGCCACCGGAGCACCAAGGAGAGCGCTTGTAACTGTCGAGAGCGTTTAACAAGGGCCACGTGTGTAAGACAATTCTCGATGGTTGTTACGGGTTCGGGTTGCAGCGACGTTGCAGCGAGGAACGACAAACAACAGAATTCAGGCTGCCGCTGTTTCTGCCCACGCAACGGGCAACAAACGTCAGAACCGTAATCCGGATGAAATTAAAGCAATGGGATTAACAGTGTCGGGGAAATACGCGGACGATGCCGCGACGACACGGTGTAACAAAGAGAAGAACGAAGCACGCTTGATCTTTCGACGAGATAAAAATTCATTATCGGGGCCCCTGGTTCTCGGTATCAGACTTGGTTGCCGAAAAATTGATGGCCGATCGTATCGAGTCGTAACAGGTGTATAGATACTTCCATGTTCCTGTACTCTGGAACTCTGATGGATGTTGTTATACTCGAAACTCTTCGGACACTTATCGCTATTCGCGTCAATTACACGCCAATGTGTTTTATAATAATACGATAATATTAATACTTTGCAGATTCTTCTGCGATACGACCAGTTTTGAAAGAAATATATTTACACTCCGACTCGGAAATTTGGAGAGATTTTTAGACGAAACAAATTTCTTCACGTTGTTTTTAGTAATAAATTTCACTCCAAAATGCAATTAATTATCAGTCGCGATATACTTAAAAATATTTATTTACCTAGGAAGTGATTATTCCTTTCGAAATCCAAACTTTTGAGTAAGTACCTTGTCCTAAGATTTTTAAGCGGGAGTGTTTATCAAAACGATCTCTAAAAACGGAATTGATTCGGACATACGTAACTCGCAAGTAAACGACCGAATCAAACGCGTTTGTCGGTCGTAATTCCCCGCGTCTGCCAACGTAGGAAATCATAATGTACCTATCCGGTAATCGGAACGCATAAATCATCGTTGACAAGAAAATTATACCAAAATGTTTGGAGAACCAGCGAGGAGTGTTTGCAATAGAACGACTAATCGCGTTCGCCTTTCACAGAGAGGAAACCCGCAAAGAGGAACCTCCTTGTCGCCCTTTGACATGAAAGCTTGAAAGCGACGAAACAAGAGGAAAGCAAGCAAGCAAGCAAGCAAGCAAGCAGTCGTCAAAGTGAACAGACGCCAGTTGCGCGGGATCTCGCCAAAGGGTGATTAATGTACGCGGAAGAGGGAGAGGAAGAAAAAGAAGAACAAGAGGAAGATGAGCACACAAGGAGGGAAGATGGGAAAAAAAAAACACGAACGAGAGGAGGAAGACGAGGAGTGAAGGATTCGCGGCCGCTGTCAGGCGGAACACGAGATATCGTCCCAGAAAATATTCTTTTTAATCCAGCCATAAATCCGGCCGTACCGAAAATTCGCCGGTGGACGAGCCGTATTAAATATTAACTGCGTGGCCGATTATGTAATTAAAAGGGTATTCGTAGTAATTGGGAGGACGGGCTTAACGAGCTTTCTAAAATTTCCGAAGATAATTGCGCGTGCAGCGCGTGATTATCGGTGGCTCGCTAATTACGGGCTAACGCGCATCGTTTCTCTTTTCCAGCTATTACGCCTGAAGTTGCCGCGGAAACGCACAGCCGACTTGCCAGAACGATTCAGCCAGGATCCAGCAACTTCCTTATCGGACTTTTCGATTTTCCCCACGTTGAAGCGCAGCCCGCGATCAGGCGAGTTTGGGCCCTTGCTGTGAAGTCTCGTGTCGAGTCGAGTATCTTATCTGCTGGTTGAAAATTTCGTGGTTTTATGATTCTATCATGATTTATTGTTATTAGAACTGAAAGATTTTCAGGTGAATTAAGTAAGTTACGTGGGACATTTTAGTTTTAATTTAAATTAAGTTTGAATTTATTTCTTTAACTCAAAGTTGTTACTTATATAAAATATAAAACCATTTACAAAACGCTTCTGAATTACCACGTTGAATATGCTTCCTCATTTAAAGTACTTTATGTATTATACTAATATTTTTATGTTTGAAACATCGAGATTTGGAATTTTCCTTGTTTTTATATCTTTTATTATATAAACTGTTACAAAGTGATGACTGAAATATTTAACGAAGGCACAAACTTTAGTAGCTGCAAGATTTTTTAACCAAACAGATATAATGTGCAAAATTTTTTTTTCACTTATTGAAACCTATTAGCTGACGTAGTTGACAAATTTATCTAGATGCTGGAAATCTGTCCCAAAGGAGCAGACGCTCATCTAACATTTTAGATTGTCAAATAAAAAATATATCAAACAACGTATACATATATCTCGAAGCAGTTCACATATAATTATGTAATTACATCACATACGTGAAATATTTTCTACGACAGGATTGAGTTATAATTTAACGGCCGCTCGGAACCATTTATGCAGTCATTAAGGCATCATTAATCTTGCTCTCGGTTATGTGCGACAACGGAGTCATTGTTGGAACAGGTGCTATTTCCGAAGAGGTTTGGATCATTAATCGAATGAATGAAATCTGTTCCCCGCGGAATAAAAGAATCGACGCCAGAAATCACAACAGAGAGACAGAAAAGGACCGTGACGCTTTTGGCGACGGCAATTAGCCGAAATTGTACCTGAGCGTGAGATCTTGTCAAATTTCAACGAAGAAGAATTTGAAAACAATTGGTAGCTTCTGCTTTGATGCAAGATAAAACAACAGTTGCGTCTTTAGCGGTAGGTAGTGTGGTAATTGGAAATTGAACGAGAATACAATTAATCTAATTTACAAGAGTATAAAAGAAATCTAATTTGTCAAACATATATAATATAATATTGTATAAATTTTACATCCTAACCCTGTTACATCTTAGAAAGAAGTTTTTAGAAGAAATAAAATATGTCAATAAGGATATCTCCATTCTACCTTTTGAATTTAAGAAATTTTTTAACGACAGAAAAATATGACTGGGTCGAAAATTATTATGCAAACAACATAGTTTTTGATGTAAGGAAATCGTTACAGCACTAACATTTATTTTTTTTTTTTTTATTGAAAGTTGTTTTGTAAATATTTAATACTAAAAATATAGCAAATCTTAAGTGTAAAAGCATAAGTTATTTTCTAAATAATTTATTACGTTTTTATCACACTGTCAAAATGTTGAAACCGTGCAAGCTTTCACTGAATAAATTCACTGAAAAATCACTGAACAAATTCAACGAACGTCTCCTGGATGCTACGTTTCTAGATTATTTGAGCTAAACAAAGAAACATTGACCTAGCTCAATAGCTCCACGAAACAGCTACGAGCAATCATCCATCTTTTTCGCCTCAATCATGTCCTCTTTTGAATGATTCGAATCCCCAAACATAATAGAGCCGAGAGCATTGTTCGCGGATTCCGTTGAAATAAAAGGAACGACCGGTCGACGAAGAAGAAACATCGAAAATATTCGGTCGAGGAACGTAAACGGCTGCCATTTGTCAGCCAGACGACTCAATGTCTCATGGGCGTCTCAGCGTTGCTTGTTCCATCGCACTTGGCCCGAAGAATCCACAGATGCACGATAAACCGAATCAGAAGGCAAATAAAAGTGCTTTGCGAGACGCCGATCGGCATGAACGGATGAACGAAATCAACGTTGCCAACGAAACAACCGTAAAATATGCGTTTTAAGAGACACGATAAGTCTCAATAACTCGAATCTCAAAGGAAGGAAAAGAGACCTTCGAATTATGGTAGGATTTATGGAAAATTCGTCTTTGCACGGCGTTTAATTTCTTCGACTTGTAAAGAATCATAAATCTTTTATTCGAGTTTCCAATTGGAAGTAATCTTCTTTTTTCAATAACTCTCTCAGAAAAATTTGCAAAGGAAATTATTGTTATAGTTTGGAGAAGAGAGAGAGAGAGACTTTTTTAACTTGTTTCTTCAATATTTTACAGCAATCTGTCCTTGCGATCAAGACGATTAGAGTGATTAACTTACGTGAAAAAATAAATCCGTGTATAATATTTGAAGAAGGTGAATTTAAGAGTAAATATGTATGTTTGATAGGACTAATCATCATTTGGAAAATAATGTTACACAAATAGTAAAATGGTAAATAGAAATAGCAAAGATTAATAACAGAGTTCTAACCGAGTTCGTTAAACGTATATTCTATAATTTTTTTTAATGATAGTATGATTGAAACATCGCGCTGGCAATTTCGAGTGTTCCGATGCGGAAAACGATAAGATTGCGATCGACGGGGCTAGATTTGGCTTATTATAGTGTTCCCGACATAACTAGATAGATCTCGAATTGCAAATTGTAATTAATAGTAATAGCAAATTATACGTTAGATACGACGACGTGTAATATGTAATTTCGCGGAATATGAACGGTTCTTGTAATCGTTCGAGATGTAAAGGTCAATGGATAATGATGCAGCGAGTTAATAAATAAGATGGCTAATAAGCACCGGCAACATCTACTGAAAAAAGCCAAAGGTGTATCATAATTGTATTATAATTTCATTTCTATAACGTTTCGGTGATTTGTAAAGACGTCCTTGAGACATTAATTTCTCTCCTGGCGCGTTAATATACAATTAAATTAGTATAAAAATCGAAATTCCTACGTGTAAAAGGTGTAACAGCTTTTAACAAATAAAATGGTTATTAAGTATACTGGCAGTGTCTAGCTAGGTACTAAAAGCTAAGAGTGTTTCGTGATTGTATTACAATTTCATTTCTATAACGTACGCACGTTCTCAGGATTTATGCAACAAATTCTTATAAAAATCGAAACCAGATTTTGTTAAAATACAAATATTAAATTATTACACGACTCGATGTGAGAATTTTGGCGATAGTTCGACGTGATATCGAGAGAAGTAGGCAAAAATGTAATACGCGTAATAAGTCACTACACGGTAAAAAGAGAAAAGAAAAAAAAAGAAAAAGCCGCGCACCTGCGTTGAAATTTATGCGTCGCGTACAAGTCGCGCGTATCGTTTCGTGTAACAAATTACATGCATACTTGATGGAATGAGATATTTATTCGAGATGGCCGGAACCATAACGGACAGAGCGAGCCACATTTTCACACAATACACTGTTTGCTTCATTTCATCTAATAATTAACACCAGCCTAATAACTAATGCCACTTTAGGCTTTAGGCTTTAACAACCAGGCGAATTAATTTAAACGAACGCTTAAGCTTCTCGCGCCGTATCATCCATCGTAGCTTCAATTTACCTGTAGATATTCAATCTGCATGAGATTGAGCCGACTGATCTCGAAATTTCGCGCCGCCGAATGCCGTTTCTCGCTTATTCGCGTATTCGCGCCTCGAAACGAAATCGCGTGCGCTAACTATGGATTCCTAGCCGCGAATCCACTTAATTTCCTTCGTAATAACAATTTAAATATGATATTAAAGATAACATAAGCTGAACATAGAACTCACAATTTCTAAAAAAAGATTCCTGAGGTACAGAGCATTCCTTTTAAAATTTATCGAATGCCCAAAGTAGAGATGTATCTACTTAAATTTTTAACTAGTTAATTGCAGCCACGAAGCTAAAATTTAATAAAGACAAACCAACTTTCTGCCAATGTCTGTTTCAATCATTGCAAATTCATTTCCAAGAGAAGTGAAGCAATTCGTAAATAAAATCTTCAATTCTATCGTCAACAAATAATTCAATCTTCAAATAAACTACTTCTAAATAAAGACGAATCAGCTTTCACGCTGTTTGTTCTAATCGTTGCAAACTGTAATGTAATTTATTTCCAAGAAAAACGGGGCGTTTCATGAATAAAATCTCGGAATAATGATTAATATCTAAATTTCCAAATAAATCTCTAAACAAGTAAAAATTTCGGAAGAATCTAAGAAATTGCCAGACCGAACTACAGAACTAGAGAAACGACAAACGAGAGCGAACTACAGAAATTATAAATTTTATTCTTATCTACTTTACATAGATTATAAATCTTATTCCTGCACATACTTTGATACATCTCTAGTTCGAGAATCCATAGAGAACACTTGACTTGATATGAAGACTCAATCTATTTAACAATCCCATTCGGCAAATTACTCGCACGTTTCTTTTTTTCGTTTCGCCGTTATGCGACACGCATTTCACGAACCTTTCGAGAACGGAATAGCGGAACGTTCGCAGGTCTGTTTTCCGGAGCAAGGAGAACCGGCATTGTTCCAGTACCAAAGTACACACGTGTCGTGGTGTGCTTTCCTTCGAAACTGGAGCAATTTATGGCCACCAAAATCCGTCGCAATATTCGACCCACGACGTTCCCAACATCTGGCTTTTTTCTTGCCGACCTGGCTACTACGATGCCAAGCGTCTTTGTGAACAGAAGTTTCGAGTATGCTCAACGAGAAAATGAAAATTTATGTCTAGCTATTGAGAACAATTACTGACTTTCCGTTGTAAACACGTTGCAAGCGGACAAAACAGAATTGGAGCCACATTTTACTTATGCCTGACTGGAAGTACGGTACTTGAGGAAAATCAGAACCATTCGATTGTTCTGAAGATTTCTGTTACCATATATTCTAGTGCAACTCTACTTTCTGTAGAATAATATCGTAGAATGGAAACATAGAAATATATTTTCTATGGAAGGAAAAGAATTCTAGAATGAACATTTGGTACATCAAAAGTATGAAGATCTTTATCAAGATCTTGGATCGTCTTGTTCTTTTGTATTCTGTTTCTTTTCTTACTTTTTATTACGCAATAATTAGACTACCGATTTTTGGCTATTTATAGGAGATTTTAAAGTTATATGAAAATCAAATATATATCTCCAAGTACTTTCCATGGATCCAAACCCAAATTTTGGAAATATCCAAAGTTCTATAATTTTAATTCGTAAAATAATATTCAAACGTGATTCTACATCTTTTAATTATATTTCCAAAAATAATCGCGATCCAATAACAATCCAATAAAATTCAGTTAAGTCCATGGAACTCACTTTTCCGTCGCTACGTTCACAAATCGGCTTCCAGGTCGGAAACGGACCGTGTCGATTGACACAAAGAGAACAAAGGCATGAAAATTGCGTGGCACGCAGAAAGTACTCACCGATTTCGCCGACAATGACTCGAACAAGGCGAAAAGACCAATCGCGTGACGACAAGCTGCTTCCTCGTCCGTCGTGAGATGCAAACTGACTGCTTGATCGCACCATGGCCGTGTTTCTAAGCTAATTCACAAAATCTTTTGCTCGAACAATTTCTCGAACACGATCAAAGAATATTTTGGAATATATTGAGGGGACAATGAAATACATAATACGTTTTAGAAAAGAAAATTGTCTTAAGATCGAGCGATGAACAATTTGGGTAATATTTTTATGTGCATGAAGAGTTGTGATTATTAAAAAGCTGTGAATTATAGAAAAACTAAGGAATTTTGAGCCACGATAAAATTTCTGGATTTGATTAGATTTATCGTATCTAATTTATATGAAAGTTGTGAGATTTTTAACATCTATTATTTGGAGTAGAGATAATGAACCATATTGATAAAAATTTCGGAATTACTGATTCAATGACTAAATAAAAGAGAAAATATCTACATTGTTTAGAATAATCGCAAAAGCATCAGAAGTATTTCTGATGCTTATAATTGATTTGTTGAATAAAAGAAACGATGATTCGATTTATACGATCTATGTTATTAATCATCACCAAAGATTTTACTCAGATTTATGCCCAAATTGAATTATGCTCGTCTTAACGATTCGTCTCAAATTTTTTAAAAATCGCATTACTACGTCCCAAAATATTATGCTACTCAAGATATAATAAAAATTTGCATTATCCGAAAGCTGGCAATTATTAGGATGAAACAATCTTACCTTAGCAGATCCAACGTGTCCAAAGCACCATGGGCGCTGCTCCCAGATACCGCGATTCCAAGGTGCCGTTTCGATCGGCGAAAAATCGTCCGATCTCGTGTCTTCGAATCGCCGAAAAAAAAGAGAGGGTTCTATCGAGGGGAGTCGCGAGTCGGGGGACATGCTCGCGAGATAAGGGATCAAACCGAAGGCACGGAAAACGTTTCGTTAAAGCGTTGTAAAAAAATCGATCGGTCGTATTCACGGTTCGGTCGAGAAGGTGGCAGCACCTCACCACGCGATCTCCCGTGGCGGCGGGGGCATGCATCGATGGCCGCGTTTTTGTTGTTTTATCATTCCTTTTTTTCTACTCTCTTTCTGTTTCTCTCTTCCTCTCTCTCTCTCTCTCTCTCTCTTGTTCTCTCTTTCTCCAGCTTTCTCATTCACTCTCTCTCACACACGCTCTCTCTCTCTCTCTCGTTCGTCCCTCTATTCTCTCGTAGTTGGCAGATTAGGCTAATGCGATGGACCAGATGAGATATGGGCCAGCGAATCGGAGTACAGTGCCGGCACAGCAGGGGCGTGACTGTACCCTGGAAACGGCTGTGCCCCGGGCCACAGTCACGACGTGAACTAAGTGCTGGGTGGAGCCCCGTCTAGGCACTACCTACTCGATGGAACCATCATCCTCTCCCTCGAATGTCACGGGGCAACCTAATGGCTGCCAGCCACCTCGAAAACGGCGCCAGTTTTGAAATGGTCAACTTCGCTACAAGCTTCGCGGCCTTCCGTCATTTTGGCGAACCTCCCGCTTGGTACGGGCCGTTGTTGCTTCTCGGCTGTAGCCCTTGTTTCACGACGTGGCACATGACAGTCTAGATAGTGTAGCATGTGAGCATCCTTTGGAAGAATTTTAAAAAATAATCATTATCCGAATATGTTGAAGTTGATTGAAAAATTGTGACATAATAGTGTAAAGAGTAGTTTGATAATATTCGTTGTAGAATCACTAACCTAAGGTGGGCCTCCTACTGTGCATAGTGAACGTGCAGTTGCATAAGTATAATCGTATAGGGAATACAATAATGGTTGTAAATTACTCCCGAATAATTTCACTTATCAAGTCCTATGTAGATGTCCTCAATATGGTCATCGGTATTTGATAAAAGCCACTGGAGCTACTATATCCTTCTGCAGGAACCACACCCTCCATGAGCTTCCATTATATCACTTTCATTAGTTCCATAGTTTCAAAAATATAACACGCATCTTCATTCTGGACTGCATCACCTGAAACAGTTATAATACTTGTCATATGCTTAAAATTTTTTTATAAAATCTAGAAATTAATCAACAATTTCTAATTCTGGTTTGCTAAAGTATCAATCATAATGTATCTTTTGAATTCAAATCCTCCAAAAAGACCAAACTGGAACAAATATCTCGATTCATTCAAATAATCTCAAATAATCTTGAAAAACGAAAACAGAGCGAAAACGGTAAGCGAAAGTGGAGAAATCAAAAGAAAAAACGACGGAAGAAAGGAAAAACCATTGCTAGTACAAGCACTTTTCAGTCGATCAGGCTTCGCCGGATATTTTTTCACGTCCGTTTGCCCGTTTCAATCCCCTGTTCGAAGCCGCTGCTCATCCATCTGCCTACCGATATTCGTCCGGGGCCATATCTCCCAGCCACTTTTCAATTTCGTCCGACGAATTTCCAGTCGCTCCTCCACATCCCTCTCTCTGCCTACAACTAGCGCGCGTCTCTCAATCTACATGTCCAATTCTCCAGAGCATAAATCCGAGGAAGTTTTTATTATTTAACGTTCGTTTCTTTTTGCTCCAGGATAGCCATAGCAGTTTCGTCAAACGTTGACAACGTTGGCCAAGGAGAGAGAAAGGGGGTCGAAAGCTCGATGAAACGAAATTTCCAGCCTGTGACCATTCACCAACACCCTCTCCCCTCATGGGTATACTCCGCACACGCCAGCGTCATTGGAAAATACAGGCTAATTGCGAGAATGTTTTGTTGGCCTGTCGGAACTCGGGACCATCTCCCCTTACAAGGTTTTGCATTTAGCCTTTCCGTATCGACGACACGTACAGCACGAAACTCCGCAGAACTGGCTGGGAGAACCTACTACCCCCGTCGACCGTGGCTAACTTTGTTTTAACGGGCTAATAGACGACCCTGTATACGGTGAAAGTTGCTTTTTCACGCAGCCTCGGTCTTGGCTGACGACGCCAGGGGAACAGTGATTTGATCGCTATCGCAATTCGCGAAGAAAAACTAGGCGACCAGGCGACTGATTCAGCGAGGTGTTTAAAATTTTTGATAATCTTATACTTGAAAAAATGCAGAAATACTTAAAACGACGAACAATTAATTTCCTTGAAGGATCCAAATATTACTACCCGGTAAAAATAATTCTAAAGTACTCTAAAAGTACTTTTATTCTTCATTATCTCCTATTAAGTATTCTACTCCAATTTTTTCCATAGCAACACTACTCCCATTGTGTCAAACTTAACTGTTAGGAAAACCTCTACATTAAAAAATTGTAGGTACCGCCAGTAAAACAGATCGACATAAAAAGAAATGGGCTCAGCAGCAAGGTGGAAGCTGATCGACAAAAAACATAGAACAAACAGGAGCTTCATTGAATCGTCGAAATATAATTCTCGCGGCATATGTAGCAGGCTGCTGGACGCGCGCGCCGATTGATTCGTTAATTAAGTCGTGGAAATACTTTTGCACGCATGCGACAGGACGTATTAATCGTCGAACGCCGGAGGTCATATATTGTTTGTGACGCTTTAGACGCGAACATTGATTGCGAGAGAGACGCCGGCGTCGGTCGGCGGTTTGCAGAGGAGAGACGCTGCTCGGGGGAGCACCGCCGTGTCCCGGGGTAGGAAAGGAAGGAGAGGGAGCGGCGATATTATTGATTTATGTCCCGTTCTACGTTATGTATTCTAGCTCCTCCACACCGGTGCCGAATGATCCAACTCAAGTGCCACACTTCTCCTCACACTCGGCCTTCGACTTTGAATATTTCCACGTATAACGCTTATCTCCTTTTCCTCGTGAACTACGATTTTCACCCTAATGGCATCTTTACTTTGGCCTATAGTTATTTAAAATCCTAATTCTACTAGGAAGATATCACAAACATAATTAATACTTAATAGACGCAATTAATATTTATAGTGTGATTGAATAAAAGTAGAATTCTTTTAAATCAACGTTAAAGAATGGAAGACAAAAGAAATCCTGAATGGGTAAAAAGCTTTCTAAAGAAGAAACTATATATAGACCTATGATATATCGGAGTAGAATGTATATGCTACTCCAACAATTGAATTCTGAAATTCCGATTTTTTTTTCTTTTTTTTTTTAACAGAAGAAAACAAAATCCTTTAAAAGCTATTATAATTATCAATTTAAACTTCACCAATAAAAGTGGAACTAAAACTCCAGAATTTAATCAATTCAATATTTGATCTTACGAGTGCTCTTCCAGATTTAACTCGTTATTTATATTTATGCGATGAAGCTCCTATGACCATAGCTAATTGTATTAAGTAAGAAAAAAAAAAAATAAAAAGATACCTAACTACTAATTTAAAATATCACGTAAACACACAAAACAGTGAAATTCGATGTACAACCCTCGCGTTTACTCAATCCAGCAGTCTATCATGATAATTCAAGTTGCCAGAATCGATATAAGCAACCGTGAATCCGCGACAACGTGTCCCGATTAGACGACAAAGGTCCACTGTACGGCAGCGAGTGAATCGCAAACGATCATCGTCACTACGAACGTCACGAAAGCGGCAATCACAATCCCTCGAACGAGAGAGCCGACCAACAGGGTTATCAATTATCTTCGACGCGAATTACCGTTACGGGGAATACTACGCGTGTGGGAGTAACGGTGGAAGTTGTGCGTGCCGGAAGTTAAGATTGCGCTTGGCTGGGGGCATACATGAAGATAGGAATAAGAAGGGTAGTAAACAGAGAGCGAGACAGAGAAACGAAGGAAGAAAGGCAGAGAGAGAAAGAGAAAGAGAGAGAGAGAGAGAGAGAGAGAGAGAGAGAGAGAGAGAGAGAGAGAGTAAAAGGAAGAGAGAGATCTGTGAACGGGAAGCGCCGAAAATTGATGCATTCCCTATGCAAAACAGCAGAAGCACGGCGCTAGTAGTAGCTGGACAGCACGCAACCGAGAATCCTCTACAGTCTCTCTCTATAGTGTGCTCTCTCCTCGTCCATCTTTCTCGCCGCTCGTCCGTCTCGCCTTCTACCACCATCAGCGGCTCCGTCACCTACGTCCTGAACAGAATCGAGAGCGGTATAGGAGCAATTAACACTCTATTAACACTAACGACGCTCATACATAACAACGGTGCCGCAGGGATTGAATTTATGGTCTGTTAATGGGGGTTACTTTATGCGTTATGCAGTCGTACGCGCGTCACGACGCCTGGACGACCTTGCGTAAATTTCGCGACGCCCGCCGCGCGCCGATTTCTTCCTGTGAGAGGGTTGGACACGTGGTACGCGTCGCGCCGATTTGTAAATCAGAGCCGTTTGCTCGGGATTTTCGTTTTATAACGGTAATTTTATCCTAATAAACGAGATGCTTGACACATCGATGTCTAAATGTCTGATGTATCGGCGGAAATACTGTCGAAACCAGGGTAAAATAAATAAGAAGTAACTTTTGAGATATTAATTTTCATTAGCGACTGGCAAGTTCTGTTAGAATTTATCACAGTAATATCATTGGTTAATAATGTAACAGCTGAAAATCACACAACGCTGCAATTATGTCACCGATCAGTATTAATGTACAAATAATAACAACTACCGATCAAGTACAAGTTACACGACGATTAAAATATCAATTGATTCATCAAATTAATCAATTCATCCTCCCCGATTCTCAAACCGTCGATGACTCCAAAATCCAGTATAATCGTCAGCCAAGCAATTTCCATTCCCGAGTGGTGTCTGATTCGGCGGTAGGAGGCTCGGGAAAGGGTGAAAGAGGAAACAGGTGTACGCGTAATCTCTCTCCAGGCGAAATGCGAGTAAACAAGAAAGTTAGAGAGGCTCACCGTTCGTCGAGTGCGGCGGAGTCGAGTGCCAAAGTTCATCGTGAGATCCTGCCCTCCTCACGGCTAAAGGAGACGCGGCAAGGCCGGTAAAGTGATAAAGCGGCCATAAATTCTGACCGCCATCCTCCCGCCAAGCCCCTCTATCTTGCCAGCTCTCTACTCGACTGCCTTCACGCTTCTTCCCTTCCTTGTTCGTCTGTCTGTCTGTCCCTTTCCTTTCCGTCTTCTTTCCTCTTCTTCTTCATCTCCATCTTCCTCATTCTACATTGCAACCTGGATGCACCTGCAACAACGGAATTGGCAAAGGTCAGCGCGCGCGTTTCCTACTCTTGAATTACGGACGCTCTTTAATACTCACTCGATGACGATTCCGCTTCGTGTCCCCGATAATCTCGAGGCGTTCAAGATGAGTTCTCAGCAGGTGAAAGTGGGAGTTATTGAACTGAATTTACTTTGGCATTTATTGTTTCTGGTTTTATGTAGTAAGTGTACTTTTATGTATTAATCCTTTTTATTGTTTTCTGTTTTTTTTTTTTTTTTTTCTTTTGAAAGATAGAATCAGATGAATAAATACTTACCTTTTTTAAAATATATTTTTCATACCAAGTGGACGTGGTCATTTTGCAAACTGATCTGAATAGTCTAATGATCTAACAGCGAATTGATATGAACAGTTCTGCTGACAGAACATCCTTGACCATAAATAATGTCAAAGGAGGACGATCCGTCAATTGAGCTGACAGGCATCCCAGTCCATGCTTCATCTTCACCCACTTCTCGGTTATACTTGTGATTCCATTAAGAGCGATTTATATTCAAGAACGACTGCATCGAGAGACTTCGACTTCGAAATAAGAGTAGTGGAAGTCAATTATTTCTTCTCCATTAACCATTAAATTAAACGTCAGTTCCAATTCCAGAAGCGGACCAAAGCGATCTTGCTCCGAAAATTCTATCAGTGCGTTGAACGAAAAAACCATGAAGGAATGGTAGCGCTGAAATAGGAAGGGGGAAATTAGGTCAGGCAAAGACACATGGAATGTCCACGTGGACAGAAAGGGAATGGAGACATGTCGGACGACGTGTAGAAAAAATCCGCGGGCTGCTGTTGCAGCTGCAGTCGGGCGAAACGTCGAAATCCAATATCGCGGTGTTCCAGACGTACCGGGCCGCCTAGAAGCTAGGCACACGGTATGTTCGTTGCAGCGCAGGGGCGAACAGACAGAAATCCCAATAAATCATCCCGTCACGAGCCGTGAGCCAAGGCGGAGCCTCTTGCCTCGTATTAGCCAATAATAATCCTCTCCGAGGTGGAGGCCATCTTGGATTATACAATGGTTCCTTCCGCCACAATTCGTATAAATGCAACCTTCGGGTTACCGGGCAACCTTTTCGAAGGGTCCCAGTGGCGTAACTGGCGGACCGCCGATATTTTCGTTCGACCGTGAAGCAAGTCCGCCCGAACGACCCGAATTCGAGCGTCGTTCCTTCAACACTTTGCAAAATACGTCACGTGCCACGAATTAGAGCACCGTATGGTCATCGATCATCCGAGTTCGAGACAATCTTCCAGTGATGATTATTCGATCGTTCTGATCTCAATTTAATTTCAACGACGATCGTTACGACATGAACAGATAACATGAAACTGTTGAAGCTGTTTCTTTATGTCTTGTCGCGATTCGGAGTATCGTTTAAGTTAGATGAGATATATGACTGAAGAATTTAATGATGTCTCATGATGATTACGAAGGCATTATAAAATGGCAGATGGTAATTACAGTTATTTGTCTGGAAGGATATTCCGAGATACAATGTCTCGTGAAGATAGTCTCGAACTTCAAAGTCAGTAGCGTAATTACATGTGTTGCTGACGTTAAAACAAGCGAATCGATTAAGATTAATTTACCAATCGGTTTATTAACGTGAATGAAGGAACGGCACACGTACGAAAGTATGATCAATCTCGCGAAGCGGAGTCGAACGAGCCCAACGTGAACGAGCTCCACGTGACTGCTTTCAACCGCTATTCGATCGATAAACTTTGGTCGAACGTGGAAACGAAAGTTGAAGGAGAGAAATGCATGCATCAATGTTGATCCGAAAACGAGCTTCACACTTTGTTCGATTTTCATATTCAACCACAATTTATTTCTCGTTTTCAAACACAGCTATTATAATTAATATAATTATTATTAATATGGACAGACTCTTATATAATATAATACAATACGGTTTAGACTTGTCGACATGATAGCGTATAATACTATTATCGTTTCCCATCGTCATCGTCATCGTCATCGTCATTATTCATTCGCGTGCATATCGTTCGTCATCGCAATTGTATCGTCATTATCGTAATCGTCATCACCACCATCGCCATCATCATCGTTATCATCGTCATCATCGCCATCATCGTCATAAACAACATCGTTCGCTGACATACTTTTTTCTCTTTCTTTCTCCTGTGTACATTTAGTTTACATAATGCGGGACACTACAAAATAATTATATACGTTTATTATAATTCGTAATACTATTATATTTATATTTATATTCCATATTTATATTTAAATATATATATAATTTATATATATATATATATATAGATTTATTTTATTTATATCATCTTTTCCACTTATACTTCGGTAAAGTGGCGTTGCCTACATATTTTTCGGTTTGTAGGCACACCCCTATCTAAATGTGTTTCTCTCTCTTTTTTTTTTTTTTCTTCCGCATCGCGCGTAACCGTTTCGAACGAATGTGTTGTACCCGGTCTTTTTTGTGTGTTGGGCGTGTACTGCTGCATATGTGTGCACATGCGTCCGTGCGCGGCTGTTATATGTGTAACATGTGTAATATGTTTCTGTATAATATAACATGTACATGAATGTTCCACCGGTTCGGTCGGAGCAATGTGTCTACGTAACACTGATGACTCGAGTGTGCAGCCAATGTAGTATCAAAAAAAAAAAAAAAAATTTACATAATTCTGGTGCCACGATATCTTAAGCACCATTCACAAAGTAGCATTACTATTGACTGCTTGCACTTGCTTGGATGAATCTGTAAATATAGGTATCTTTAAGTACAGATAATATCTATAAATACAGATAATATACAGATTTCTACGGGTATAGAATAGGTATCTACAAAGCGCGATGTTCATCTTTTTTGGAAATTTTATTAAACATAAGATAAGGGGGCTACACACTGGAGCGATCACAAGTACAGCTGGGGACGACAACGTGGCGGCTCTTAATAATATTGTCATCCTTTTACTCTATTTTCCTCGTCACGGTTACAGACAATTGGACCATCGATGCTGGTCGAATCGTCCATACGCCATGCTGTTTCTCACATATCGTTACAGTACCGTATCAATAAATAGTAATTAATTAGTTCTCTGCTACCATTACTTTGTAATCTTTTTAGTCTATTCAACAGGTACCTACTTTACCTACGCGGTATCGTATACAGTGGTCGCGACTCGCGATTCAATGCCACGACGTCAGACGTCGCCTCTCACATTGCCCCGCCGATAAAAAAAACTTCGTCGATGCGCCCGCTTCGTTCGCATGGAATTATATACAATGCTTCTCTTATAACTGTGCGGCCCGTGACATAGGACTTCGCCGCATTTCAAAGAAAATCAGAGCCCCCCCGATAAGTACTTTTGTTTTTTTTTTTTTTTTTTTTTTACTTTTTCTCTCTTCCTCGATAGAATTCTCTAAAAAATAAAAACCATGAATCGATTCTCTGCGACCTCAACGTACGAAATTATGTTCGTAGCACACGAATCTCACAGTACTATTTTAGTCGGATACGTTTTAAACCGTTATCGTGTAAAACACCGTTTTCGTCGTATGTTACCGGGGCTATCAGTCTTCACAGAGCGGAATTATTATCAACGAGACCGCGCGTTCTAGGAAACTTTTTGTCAAATTGGAAAAAGATCTCTCTGAAACAATGACGACGGCATTTTTAAACTGCAATCGAGGAAAGCAATACTCACTAATTTGTTTCGATTACCTGTATATTTACAAATGCATCGAATGTACAATGACCGAGTCGTCGAGTTGAATGTTTAAACACGACTCGACGACATCTAAAACGAAGGAGCGTTTTCAATACCTTTTTCCTCATTCAGATGATACGTTACACGAAGGTGTGCAACTTCTACGTGTGTTTTTTAATTTATTGAGAAAAGTTCTTTTCAAAAATGAAACCGATAAAAAAAAAAAATGCCGATGTGTGATCGAACGGAAATCTAAGGATGTTACGACACGTATGTCCTTATCGAGTGCAGTAAATTTTCCTCTATTTTACCGATATGAAGTTTTAAATCCATTTTTAATCATGTTTTCTTTTTGGCTGTCAGTGCTTTTTTTGTTATTTTCATTCGTATCGTATAAAAGACGGTTAATTGAACTGTACGGCATGATGAACGTTTTCAAGTTACAGCATTCAAAGTGATGGATTTCGCTTTGATTGAAATAGGGAGGCGATGGACTACCGTTTCTTTTTTTTTTTCTTTTTTGTTGTTTTTTTTTTACATATTTTGATAGATATACAGTACCTAGAAAGGTATACGAAACTAACGACACCTGTCTAAAGAGTGACAGGTAGTCAGGAACTCTCCGGCGCATGGGCGTGCGAGGACGTGGTTTATACAATAATTATTTACCAATTGTGACATTATTTTTTTGTAACAAGTTAGAAACACTGTAGATAGTGGAAAAATAAAGTTCAAAATATATAATAAATGTATCAAACAGTATTACTCGTGTTATATTCAAAGTTGAATCTGACAAGCGAATGTCATATCGAAACGGTAACGACAAATATTTAGCATGTAATATTTAGCATATAGATTTTTTATTGAATCACGCACGATACATGAAGTAAAAAATATTTATTGGACGATTATTGAAAACAGAACGAAATCCATCTTGTTGTGCGCAATATGTTATCAATAAATACTATGCGGAACTACGTTAAATATGAAGGATACCGAAAGCTGCTTATTTTTCACCAAGCATTTTAAATCCTCTATCCGATAGATGGTGTCTGCGAGCTTCCCAAATAGACACTGACTATATACACGATCGCAAACCCCACACTAGTTACTTAATTGCGCATTGCCCATGGTACATACATAAAACGGCGACCAAAAGCACTTTTTTGACCAGACATTTGTTTCGGTTTTTCACGACCACCGCCCCCGCCCGCTGCAACCGACATGCCCGTTTCCTTAATTCTATTTAATTATCATCTTAAGACTTAGGCTTTAGACGTTAACCTTATCGATTAAGCGCTAGCTTAGTGACTCACTTCGTACGTACGCACATGTTGCTATTGTTATCTTTCTCTTACTTCATTCCCTTCCCATTCGTTCTTAATCCTCTGCCTCTTCGTTCTAACTCTACACACAATCATGGTACTCTCGTTTCTTTCCTCTTTCTTTCTTTTTTCACTCTTGTTTAAATGACATATATCTGTTTAATTTTTACGCGACTATATAAGAGTAGAGATAAAATATATAATTTGCATTTTACACATTCCGGTTAACGCTAGGAATTCATTTTTCCCTCTTATCTCTCTTTTTTTTTTGCCGCATTTATACATATATATTTACTCTATATAATAAGTAGTGTTCGCTATCCGATGGATACAAAATTTTCACTTTAAGCTAAACTGGTGTTCACGGCGATCGCTCGCGGCATATAATAAATCCCTCGATATCCACCGATTCATGATTTTTGCTTTTTTTTCCCCCCTCTTTCCTGTTCCGAAATTGCATTTGTGTCCAAACGACGTACGACTACGTAAGTAAACACTGAGTAACGAGTGATTATTGCACAATTCTGTTTTTCTACGTGTCACGATTGCTAGCAAGAGAAATACCGGTGATAAATTTACCAATAAAGACCAAGAAAATTTCTCTGATTTCTACACGCCCAGCGGGACCTCGGATAACAAAGAACCGTAATAAGAATATTTCCGATCGATTGGTTCAACTTTCTGTTATGAGCATATGTGAATTGGAACACGATGTGAATGTGCTTTTGCCAATCAACTAAACGTTTAACGACGATTAATGTAAGCTAACCTAGTACCCGCGAAAAGTCTCTGAAAACGGTTTGTCAAGCAGGCATTTATGCGTGAAATTTCGCCGGCACTGTTGACCACCGTGTCGTAACAGTTGATACTATGACGCAAGGATAATAAATACTTCCTTTGTCTCGATAGCCACACCCTATGCTTCAATGCCGGCCATTACCTGGCCTACATAGATGCTATCACTGATTAACGCAGCCAGAATCAACACATGTCTTACTTACGTACTGCGAAACGCCCAAATCCAGTGAAATTGGTCGATTTATCATGAACATTCTAATCAACAACGTAAAACGAAACACTTTAACTTTCGATAAGAGTGGAAGAAAATATGCTGATCAACATGGCGTACGAGCCGAAAACTAACAATAGTCGAGTGATCTAATAATCGAAATCGATCTTGACCTCGATTGACAAACAGAGCTACTAGTGGAGAAATGGTGAAATAAAAATAATCATGGCTGACGTTACGTCAATTCGTTACGCGTTTGTTTTGAAAATGAAGAATTTAGTGGTTGACGAAACGAAAGTATGATATTTTGCTTGTTAAATTTCACTACGATAATCAACGTGGTACGAAAGACGTGCAGTGGTAACCATTTCTAATTGTGCGATTATCTAACTTGGATGTAGCTGAACGACAAAATATAACCTGAACAACAATTCGCCATAAGTAGATGAAAATGAAAATCGAAGGTTCGTTTATTTATCGCCGGTGTTTCTCTTTTCTCGAAACTTTCACGAAAACCCATACCGACAGCAACGCGGAGCCCCTCGACTCGGGCTATCGAGCTTAATTGACGCCAATTTGCCGGAGCAATTTAGAATCACGACCCCTGACCGTAAACGTACGGGTTTCGGCGCTTCCCCCACGAAAAAAGAACAACTGTTCGCAAGAGACAGCGAGCGATCGTCGACGATCTTCCGTTTTTCACAGTTCGTTGCTCCTCAAGGACAAAAAGTTATACATAAATAAATCTCTCGAGAAAGAAAGGCCGGCCGGTGCTCAATCGATGCGCGTGCGCGAGCTGGACCATGTATTACGTATATCAGTTCCATATATCTCCAATTTTTTTTCCTGCTTTTTTTCCATGATCATTTCTCCTTTTTGTTTGTTTTTTTTTTTTGCTTTTTTTTGTCTTTTTTATTTCTGTTAACGCGAGTACGGATCAAAAGAAAATCCGCGGGACCTCGCGAACGCGTCCCGCAGGAACATTCTTCGAATCCGTGTGATCTGCATGTAAAGGAGATTTTGCGAGATCCCGAGAATATTTCCTCCTATATACATCTATATTCTTTTTTCATTTGTTCTTTTTTTTATCGTTTTCTTTTTCTGTCCGCTTTTGTTTAAATACCGTCTTTTCATCATCGTCATCATCGTTTATACATTATTACGTATTCGTTAATTATCGTTTATTACGTATATCGTTAAATTGCGTGTATACAAGGTATAAACTAAATTATGTCAATCTAAGTTTTACAACACAGCACAAGAATTCGCCGCGGCAAAGTTCTCCGACGTGTCTTCGGCCCGGTAGATGGACACGATGATGTCGTCCGTCAGTGTTACGATCCGACGTCATCGATCACCGAGCATTTTTATCGACCGGGCCAGACAGATGGTGCGTTTGGTCACTTCTTGGCACGCTTAACGCATTCTATGGACTCGAGCATTCAAATAGAATCGTTCTGTATTTTGGAAATCAGAGGGCCGAATGTATTAAATTTGAAACTCGAAATTCTTCTCACTAGAATTGATCGTAGATCGATAGATCAAATCGAATTGATTTTGTATCTTTGTCTTCGAAGAATAGTTTTTCCAGCTATGAATGGATGAGAATTTTGATCGAGCTTGAACAGCATAGTTATTTATTGAAATTACAGAGGGTGATCTTTCATATCTTTTTTCTTTGAATATTTTTTATCATCAAGAGGATTGCCTCGATTTACGGAGAGATCAGGATAACTTTTTCAATCAACGGCTCTATTCCCTAGAGTTGCCATTAAAGTGCCAAGAGGTTTCATGCCGAAAGCATTCTATTCCAAAAATATGCTACGAATTACATCACTTGGTAACTTGGCCTCGTATCTCACGGAGCAGTAGTAAATTTTCAATGGTCACTTGCCTCCGAAGATTCCTCGAATTTTGGTCCTATCGAGGATCTCTCTCATAGCAGTTGTTTTTTTTTTTTTTTTCGCCGCTGCTTCGAATATTTACAAGGGGAACGCAGCGAATACTGTCATGTGAAATCGTGAAACGTTTTTTTTTAAATACTTTATGGCGCCGTCTACCTTGACGAAAGGTGTTTGCAACAAAATGTTTAATGCGATTTTCTTAAATATATTATAATGAATTCAGTTAGTGAGCTTTGTAAACCTTTTAGTCTGCACGTTGAACATAAAAAAAAAAAAAAATTGATTTATGTGGATTTATGACAAAAAAGATAATTTATTTTATTAACATAATCGATCTCGACTGTTGGGAAACACCTTTTTTCTGAAGTAGCCGCGATACTTTTGCTTGCGAAAGAAATGCATAATTACAATACACAGCGATGTGTTACCCGTAATCTTTTAGCTGCGCGCCTGACGAGAATGAATAAAGAGGATTCATTTCTTTGACATATTCTTCAAGCAGTATACGATCGATAGAATAAATTTGAAACGATGAATGTAAAAAAGAAGAGTTCAATGAAAAGATGAAATACTTAAACAGGAAAAAAAAAAGAAATAAGAAATAATCAAAAATATACACACACACAAAAGTGCAAGGAAGCATAGAATTTTTTAACTGACCTTGCGACGACACTGATGAAGAAATGTCAAGTCGGTTTGATTCTGCTCCGCCGGAGGCCTCCGCACTCCTAAACAGCACTGTTTTCATTCATTCGATCAGCACACTGTCCAGAGAAAAGGATTCCCCCGTATTCGTATTTCGTTCGACGTATTCGTGTGATTGGTCGAGACTACTGGCGATATCGACAGATCCGATCAATCACTAAAGAATCACTGGAATTTAACAGATTGCGTTACAAGCGCACACACACACTGATATTTCACTGGTTTCACGACAACGTAAATCGAATATCGCCTTGATTTTTTTTTTTTTTTCTTCCTTCGTCGCATGCTCTCTGTTTAATTTCCTCCGTAACTTCGTCCATTAGCCGGATAATAATGTTAAGTGTGCAGGTCGTTTTATCGGAATCTCCTCTTCATTCTCCGTTCTCTCTTCACCTCCGCGATTTCCATGTCGAATCCTCCCGGCACTGGAGAAACACACATTCGAAGATCACACTTGGCACGTTCGCGATTACTAAATAACCCTCGCTGAGCCACCGCGGTATTATAGAGAAAAAACCTATCTAAACGATCTTCTAAAGAACACTAAACCGTTCATCTACTCGCTAAATAGAGACACGACTGGACGACCGTCCTTTTTCCGCTAGTTTTCATTTTTTTTCTTTTTTCTGTTTACGACCTAACCGCACTACGGACTCTACGCGTGTACGACGTGTAAGAGAATAAATAATAAAACGCTTTCCTAAAGGATCATTTTTTTTTTTCCACGCGAATACAACGTTTACTCCACGAAAAGATTCATCATCGCTCGATCCGGGCGATCCTATCGCTCGTTCGCTCTTCATTCTCATTCTCTCTCGGCAGAATTTTGCATATTTCACATTTTCACTTTACTCCTTTTATATATATCATATATATATATATATATATATATATATCAATCACTTTACATTCTTTCACAGGGGCACATTCATACTCTACTATACAATTACAAAGACCGATCCGTTCATCCTGCCAAACTTTCACGACACTCGAATTTTGAAGTACGTGTATTTGTTTCTTTCTTAGTCTCTCACTCTTGCTCTCTTTTTCATACAATCTCATACATTCTTTTTGTCATTTTTCCACTCTCTCTCCTCTCTCTTTCTCTCTTTCTCTGCCAAATTATCTCTATCATTATAGGCTTTAGTACAATTACATTCCATTAAATGTAATAGAGGTTAACGCGGTTCTGATTAGCATGTGATCCAGTTTTCCTCCGATCCAATCCTCTCTTTCTCTCCGATTTCTTCTACATTCCACTACGTGATTATTAGAAGATCGCGCGTCCCTATAAATCTTCATCCGACTCATTCGTGTGTCCGGTTCCTTTTCTTTTCCTTTCCTTCTTTTTTTTTCTCCGTGTCCGTGTCCCTCTCCGATCCTCCTCGTCTTACCTCGCATTCCCTTCCCTGTCTCTCTCTCCGATTCTCGCTCGCGCGCGCAATCTCGCTCCTTATCCCTTCGTCTCTTTGTCATCGTCCTGTTCACGTCTTCACTTCCATCCACACCGTGTCGGCCACGTTCATTTCTCTTCCACATTCATCTCTATCCCGTTTATCCCTCTTAACGTTGTCCTCTCCTTTTTTGGTACGAGCAACTTGATTAACACGACAAAATAAGCGTCATTGCTGTATGAGTGGGGGTGGTGGTGGACTGGGGCAGGGGGCGGGCGTGTGGGCGATTTGGGGGTTTGATATTTGGAGATGTATCGGGGCTGGCATGGGGTCTGACGGGGCTGGTTGGGGCAGATGTGTATACGTGTATATGTGTGTGTCTCTGTGTGTGTGTGTGTGTGTGTGTGTGTGTGTGTGTGTGTGTGTGTGTATAGGGGGAGGAGGTAGTGCTGGAAACAAGGTATTAACGACCCTGAGAGAGATGAGACCTCTTTGGAAGTTCCACTCTTCGGGGATCTCTCAACCCTGCGGCGACGTCTGCGGCGAGATCTCGGTGTCGCCATCCACCGAGCCTGGCTCGCCCTTCGTCTTGTTCTCCTTCTTCCATTTCATTCGTCTGTTTTGGAACCAGATTTTGATTTGCCGTTCCGTCAGGCAGAGTGCGTGCGCGATCTCGATACGCCGCCGCCTGGTCAGGTATCGGTTGAAGTGGAACTCCTTCTCCAGCTCGAGGGTTTGGTATCGGGTGTACGTTTGCCGGCCTCGTTTCCTCTCTGAAACATGGAAATCACCGTACAGATTCCCTCGTTAGTCTCGTGTTTCTTCTCCTTTTCCCCCCTGGCTACGAATATATATATGCACGCATATACGCGTCAGAGATCTGGCGTGAATCGAGGCTACGCTTCGGTTTTCTTCGCGACTTTCTTAGCCTGTTTTTCGAAGAGAGGTTGGATGTAGACCAACTCGTGTCTTTGATTGTAGAATCAGACACATGTCGCGTGTAACCGTGAACCCTTGGTGACCTTTTTCTCTCTACGTTTTTTTCTGTTTCGCTTTTACTTCTTTCTACAGAGAGCCTGGATATAATATTTCACAGAAACGCGTGTGCACATTACCCTTGGAAGCGTACTCTGATTTCAAAGCTGCTTCGTAGAGTGGAGCATTATACGCGCGTTCTAATTTCGATGTCGTTCCGAGAAACATTGGTTTCTCGCTGAAATGAGTCGCGGTTCGATCATTGGAATTAATATTCTTTACTACATTATTGCGATCTCGTCAGAATAATTTCCACCATCAATATGAGAACAACATTGTGTTCTATCAATATTTGTTCTACCAGAGAAAAAACTAGAAAAGGAAACTAGAAGAAGAAAATAGAAGAATAAATAAAAGAGTCCTCGAATTCTATCGATTCGTCGACATTCCGATCCACTCGAAATTGCTATGGTATACGAAAAGAGGACCATGGAGACGTAGAGTCTTCGTTAGCCGGCGCGTATACTCTAACACAGAGAAAGAGAGAGAGAGAGAGAGCTCGAGGCCACAATCCGAGATATTTAATGAACAGCCTGCAACCTGCTTCAGCACGCGGGGAAAGTTTTTACGGGGCGTCGGGACGAAACAAAAATGTCCGTCCAACGAAGAAAAAGCTCTTGGCCGCCTGTTCGTAGGCGCAGTTCCGCGTATGATAGATACCTTACAGATATCCGTGACATGATCTGCGCTCGGTGTGGCGGTACACGAATCCCGAACAAGAATATTAATTGTACTTGCCAAGGGAGCAAGGGAAAGGGAAAAGCGCGGGCAAACAGAGAGAACCAGCTGGACTCTACATGGACCCAACGTCTCTGACCGCGTGTCCGTGTCTGCGTGGTGGCGGCCATGTAAGTACGCGCGTATGTATATGCACTCTTTCTCTCTCTCTCGTCCAGGCATAATCTCAAAGGGTTAGGTTAGCTGTTGCCACACGAGTGCAAGAGGGCAAAACGAGAATATTTCAGTGCGGTACGAGGGAGGGAAAAAAGGAAGAGGGGGCGAAGGGATGAGCAGCAGCAGCAGCAGCAGCACCGGCAGCAGAGGGAAGAGAAGGAGCAGAAGGGGGGTGGAGGTTGAGAAGGAGGAGGAGTAGAAGAAGAAGAAGAAGAAAACTCCTTGGTGAGCATTCGAGGCAAACGCCGCCCGTCGTGCTGTCGGCCGATGAAGACGGATGGCGACTCTCCTCCACAGCCACGGAGAGAGAAAGAGGAGATGCTGCTCTTCTCTTCGAGGGTTCCAAGCTGAGCTCGAGCGGACGAAGAGCAGCGCCAAGGGACGGAGAGAAACTCTGGGAACATGCCCCCACTCCTCTTCCTTCTTTGTCTTTCTTCCTCCCTCACCCCGGGGCTACGCTCTCAAATTAACAACATACCAATCTCTAGCGTTTTCTTATAACTTTTAACCATTTCGCCTAGCTTCCCTCGAGTCTCTGCCTGTTGGCGAACGATTACTCTGCATCTCCGAGCCTCGAGTTTTTGCTGAAGCTCATCTCGCGTTTCGAACTGTCTCGGAATAAACTGCGGCTTTTAAAAATACATTAGAATTAAACATTCTAACATTTACGCGTGCTTTGATGTCCAGTTTACAAACCGGTCGCGTTTGGGGGCAATCAACGGCGAGTTTGTACGCCGTTCCGTGTTCAAAACCGCAAAATTGGAGTCCTAGCCAATCAAAGGATAAACCCGGGATAAACATAGATCTCGGGTTTCATCAAAGAGGCTGATGAGTCGCGGGCGAACGCGCCTCCGCTTGGAAAGCTGGCTTATTAATGTTCATTCGTCAGCCGGTTAATGAAGGTGCCTCTTAAAGACCGTCTACACGGTCTAACCCAGAAGATCATCAAAGCGTTCACGGAATAATGGAACGGTGTCGAGTCACGCTTCGACTGGCCCGTGCCGATTAGTTTGCGCCTCTTTATCGATAACGGTCCTATTGCCTAATTTGCAAACCGAGCCTTGAACGTTCGCGCGAATGCGAATGAATGCCATAGGAAAGAACCAAGTGGATTGGATGAAATTTTTTCAATGAAATTTCTAGAACGACTACACTTTAAGAATAATCGTTCCAATTATCCCGATTAACCTATTAACATAGAATCTTTCGATCTAGATTGGAGAACATACTCGTAAAAAGAGTCGAGAAAAATTTGAATTGAAACTCTTATTTAAGAGTATTTTTATTTAGAAGTAACACCTTGGAATTGTGTCTAAAAATAGGTATACGTTATAATGTCATGCAAACGCTACGGCCAGAAATGGACACTAACGTTAAAGTGGCCGCGAGTGACTATTATCCTAATAACAAGGTAGCGCAAGGATATTGGCAATATCCCCTCAACTTACGTATGCAGCTGTTTGATTCGAAGTCAATCGATTCCAGCGGCGAAGACTTGAACCTCGATTATCCTCGTCCGCCCGCTGAATTAGACGTCGGACGTTTTTCTCGCCGGCCGAGCATACGGGCTTAATTAAACAGGCGTTCGATACCCTACGTGAATAGAAAACTTTAATCGGCTTGTAAACTGCAGAACTTATCGGAAACAAGCTATTCGAATTTTCAGCCTGCAAGGATAAAGAAAATACATCGAGGCAATGGTGAAACGTATCGGGCAGATCGCGTGCTACAGATAATGAAATATGGAATGGGCACGCATTGGCGGCCACGTGACAAATTACAACAACCGAATTGGTAATTCCAATTCAGCAAACAGGTGGTCCATAAAAGTCAAGATTGTCGAAAATAGAATTAGAACACGTAAGTGTTCGACGAATATTTCCCCTTCTTTCCCCTGTCCCTCTGAAGGAAGACGTCAAATTGCTTGGCGAGCAGTACCGAACGGTTGGATTCTAGTCGCGCAACCGCGAGTCCTTGGAACGGTGTGAAAGCGTTATCTGCGTGCAGAATCGCCGGCAAATTAATCACCGGTATACATTCTTGCCGGCTAAAAAGAATTTAATGGCGTTTTCATTGTGCGAGCGCGTCGTGGGAAAGCGCGAGTACCGAGGGTGTGAGATTTTCTTTCTTCGCCGAATACCGCGAGGAGGAAGAACGTCGAACAGCTGAAACAACCACACGTCAGATTTCGGATGTTTCTAGGCTTTCGATCCCAATATATCCACCGAGAAGTCCTACGCACGAACACAGGTGTATTTTTTTTTTTTTTTTTTTTTTTTGTTTTTTTTACTCTCGATCGAAGAATGGATCGCGCGAACGGAGCACGGTGTAAGACGTGTTAAAGAGGTCGATAACAAGAAAAGCTGGCCAGAACCGTCGGTTTATGCTGAACCGGCGTTCTGATGGCGGCGTAGCCGTTGCTCTCTCGCGGACGGAGGTGACTTTAAACGCGGGGCAATAAATTAACGGCGTTGGGTTACGCAAGGATCAAATGTCCCCTGGAGTATGCCCGAGAGATTTATGGGTCTGCCTTCACTGGCGCAGCATGAAGGAAAGGAACGGAACAGAACAGAACGTACACAACCGTACGGCTTATTATAGGCTAGTTGCTCCGCTTCTCCGTTTCTCTCTGTCTCTTTCTCTGTCTTTCCTCTTTCATCCGCCTCTGTCTCTCTTTTTCTTTCTCTTCGTCTGCGGACCGACTGGGTCTTTCAGACCCGCCGCAGGATACATGCAGGACTTTTCAGATGAACAGCTAGCCGGATGTTGTAACCCGCTAATAAGGCGCGGCCACCACTCGCTGCCCAATTAAGCTAAGCTTTACGTGGCCACCTTAAGGCCAGGCCTTGAAACGCTCTTCGATTAGATACCCTAGATATCCCATTAATTTTATCGCTCGCCCCCTCTCTCTTTCTCTCAGCCTTCCTACAACCAAGCTCTTGCTACACGAGAGCCTCTCGGATTATATGACCGGTCGACGTCGCTGACAGAGGTTCAGATTAATTGCGTGGAATCCGGTGAACCGCGTTGGAAAACCTACCAGAACGGGTATTTCGGAGATTCAGCTACTTTCGTTCGATTCGTCGGTATGTCGACGATTGAAAGGCGCGAATACATCGACGAATGAAACGATCGTCACCTCGATGGCCATTGGCCTTAAGTTTGAAGGAAAGTATAGAAACTCCTGAACGTTTGCATCGAAACAGTTCACCACCGTCTCTTTAATCCCTAACACGTGGATCGAACTTCCTCCCGGGTCCCCAACTCGTGTCTGTCTGACTCTCCATATATTTTAAGCACAGCAATCCGTCTTGCTTTTTGCATTTCCGTCCTAGGCTGCTTTATGTCACGCTGTTTTCGTTGAACTTTCTTCACCCGAATGGGGAGAAGCGTTCGCTTTTTTGCCTGGCAAAAGGGACCGGGCAGGCCGAGCGTGGGCCTCCAACGCTAGGGGTCGCGCCACGTAGTCAAGACAAACTTCGTTGAGGAATTTCGTCGTTTATATATGTACAGCGAGATCACCCGTTCCAAGCTTCGCGAACTTCCTGGATCTCTGATCTAAAAAGAAAGCCACAAATGCCCTCTATGTTCTTGATAGTCGTCGATGAGGAGATGACGAAAAAGAATCACTTGTCCTATCGATTGGAGCAACATGAGTTTCCGGTGTAGGGAAAGAGCCAACTGGCCACGATTATTCTCGTCCAGGGAATCTAGACATCGCGAAGTGGAAGTGTCCTAAGCCTGAAACAGCCACCTGGACCAAGAAGTCTCGCAAAAGACGAAAGAAAAAGGAATTCAACAGAGTTGCCGCCGTAATAAGAACGTCAAGTCAACTGACACTCAT